GCTAATGAAAGAATTTTTGATTCAGTGCAAAACAACTCGTCACTTTTTGGCAGGCTGACGTGCACAATTTTGTTTCCTCAAGGAAAATCTAAAAGCTTCCCAGCAGAATTTGTGGGAGAAGGGATCAAAAACCAAAGATTTCCAAGCAAAAAGCTGAGCGTGTGTTTGGGCTACTGAAGATCAAGGCATCCTAAAGACCTCAGTGGTGGCCTGAGTTGTTAATTCACAGTTTTCATTCCTAGGAAACACTGCAGTGGGGAATGAAGGTTAATCCACCTTACAATTACAAAAGCACACGGGCTTATAACATCCTGAAAAATAAGGCTGTGACTAGATGGAACAAACATGAGTTTTTTATACAGTCCTGCTAAAAGAAGATGTTGCTTAATTCCGAAATTCCTTGAAGCATTCTTGACAGCAATCACATCTGCTGCCATAAAACCCCATCACGGCCTCTGCCTTTGGGAAAAACGTATTTAATAATCAGTAAAGTTCAAGCTCAGCTTGTTGTGATGAATTATTAGAACCGTCATCATTTTCTTGCAAAAAAAAAAAAGTGGGGGGGCTGTAATGGAACACAATTTTATGTTTTTCCATTTAATTGATGACAGGCTGAGTTTTTATTAATCTTTCTGGGCTCTGGTGTAAGATGCTGAAAAAGCTAATATGGGATCATTGTATCTGGTTAATGTGTGTGCTTTGCAAAATTGATAAGGCTTGTCAAGACATAAATTATTTAAAATTTGATAAATGTGTTGAAATCATTGAATTTTCAAACAGACAAAGCAGAGCAATTTCTCCCCCACCCCTCCCAAAGCGAGGTTTTTGTGCAGCCGCTCAGCGATGCTGCGTGATCCAGCAGCAGACGGCTCGTAAGGAACTGGGATCATCATGAAGAAGCCAAAGAAGTATCCTGTGCTGCTGCAGGGGTGACAGGAACATAAACCTACAAGATCCATCCTCAGGGATGGAAGTAGCTGAGAGCGCAGAGGCCACTGGAAGCCTCCCAGTATGAGTTTTTTCACTGGTGGAACTGGGGGCAGGAGGAGGTTACCGAGTACCAGCTCCCTCCCACCACTCTTCCCTCTCCACGGGTGGGATGAAAAGCTCCCAGCAGCACCAGAACAGTGCTTCAGAGCTGTTTATCCCAACAGACCTCTTTATTCCAGCTAATTGCTGAGAGTTTTTCAATGATTCCTGGCAGTGGCAAAGCTCCAGAAGTGATTGCTGGTGATTGATGAGTAACCTGGATAGAATTCCCAAAGCATCAAAACAATTAAGTCCTGCACGGCTACACCTGCTGGTATTTAGTGCCTTGCCCACAGAGAAAGGTGTGGGAGCAAGTTCCAGATGAACCCAAATTTATTTGTGCAAATAAAGAAACTGCAGTGTTTACCGATACCAGTGTCTCGTTAATGCCGGCTCACTTCTCCAAAATCCTTCACAGGGAACGTTATTTACCCTGTGCTGCTCCCCCAGGGCCAGGATCATTCATGGAAGAGAAAGGTTTTGAAGAGCAATCACAAATCTTTTCCGAGAAGCACACAGGAGGAACCAATGGTTTGAAGTTTAAAACTACATAAATATAAAGCACATCATACTTTGGTTTGAGCTGTTCTTGTGGTTAACATCACAAAAGAAAACAGCAAGGCACCTTGTGGGCTCTGAGCATCTCGATGGGTCCAAGATTATGTTTCTGACTGGAAAATATCTACACTCTAATGGAAATTTTAGGTTTACTGGGTGACATTTTACAGCCTCTGTAATACGGAAAAAGATGAGGTGATTTCTTCTGTTTGGAAATGGATGGTTTGGAGGCAATGGGAAAACGCAGGTGCAGCGGAGGAGAGCTACAGCAATAGCCATCTATTTAAATGTACACACCAACTTCCCTAAGCCAGGATTTTTCAAATACCCTACTAGCAATATTTTCCACTACAGAGAAGCATTATAGTGAAAAGGGAAGATGCTGAGGAAGTCATTTTTTCCAGCATGTGCTGCATTCTTTTAATACTTTTTTTTTTTTTATTTCCCAGAAATTGCTAACCAACGTGAATAAACAGCTGAACAAAGAGCATCGGCCCATCCTCGCGAATAGCAAAAGCTGTCATCAGGCAAAGGGCCTTTGCGATGTATAGAGGAGAATGATGCATTCGAGTTCGGTTCTCTTATAGCGCAGAAAGCTTTATTCAAAATAGAAAAAAAATCTGCACACGCACAAAGACGGTTTTACATTAAAAAAGCACAAATATTATTCATATTTCTGAACAATGCATCCTCGTTCCTGCTCCTGCGCTGGGCACTGAGCAGAACCAGGCGGTTCTTTGTTAGACATCTTTTTGCTGAGCGTTTGCAAAACACGACAAATGTACTACCCAGCACCTGCAAGGTCCCATCCTGCAACCCACCGGGCACAGAACTTTGTCAGCCTCGGAGCCTCCTTCCTACAATGGAATCAGGGAAATAAGACAGCGGCAGGATGAAGCAGAGTCGAGAATTAAAGGCTGGATGAGATTAGAGTCTGCAAACTATTTCAAACAAAGAAATAGGAAAAAATTAGCCATGTTACGTGTAAGGCACAACTTCCAACAGTGGCTGGCGATTGCTCTCGAGGCCTCACACAGGAACGTTACATCCTTATAATTCAACATCTGAACGATTTTGTATTCCCATCTTACGAAAGCTGTTTCGTTGCCGCATGAAACAGTCCATGTCGCTGCAGCTCTGGGGACACGTTTCATTATCTTGAGAGCCCACCTCATTCGGCGTAACGCACAGATAATTAAAAGTAGTAGTAGTTTAGCACAATGCAACTCTGCAGTTCCACCGTCGCGGTTTTGAAATAATTGTGCCCTATCTAACTGCTGTGACAAACCTCCCCGGTTTGAGCGTGCGTTAGTGTTTCCCACCCTTCAGCCATCCCCAGCCGTATACCCGCAGATTTCTTCTTTCAATACCAGCACCTTGTGCACAAAGCCATTCAGAAAGCAACGCGCTGCTGTCTCATTTGGAGTGAGAGCCCCCTGAAGAGACATACGCTGAGCATTACCCGGAACACACGCCTCAGTGCTCTCTGGATTCCTTCATAAAAGGCGAGGGGAGAAAAGCGAGAGAGCCATTGTAGGGATTTCAATAAACATCGCAAAGGAAAAGCAGCCCAGGAGGACAAGCGTGTGTGTTCCTGTGCCCTTGCCAGAGGACAGTCAGAGCTGGGTGTGGACACAAGCAAAGTCAGAACCTCCTGTGCACCAAGCAGCTTCGTTTCTACGTATTTCTCCTTAAAATTTCCAACCGCGGTTCCCTCCATCTCAGTTACTAACAGCAAAAAAAATAGGTGCCCACGTCTCTGAGTGGTCGTTAGCATTTTAAGCAGCGGATCATTTAGCTGTGCAGCAGAGAAGTTCTGGGATTTCTGCACTGCCAGGCCCCTGGTCCCAGCTGGAATCTGGAAATGCAGCCGAAAAGCCTCTTTTTTCCTGCTTCTAAAGGCCTCGGGTCAGTTTTGGGGTGAAGGATGAGTGTGCATCAGTTCTTGTTTCATCTGAACAGTCACTCCTCTGCAACAGGGGAGTTCTCGCCCTGGCACTGCGGATGGGCAGCTGCTCTCAGGATCACCCACCTGAGCTTGAGTTTGGGAGCAGGCTTCAAAGTGGTTGAGGAACTGTGTGTAAACATGACCTGGCTTCTCCAGGAGCATTCCAGCACGGTGGAAACGATGCTTCCCCCAGCATCGCTGTGACAGCACTGTTTGTGCTGGTACAGATCAGCACCTGTCACTGTTCCCATTGGAATCTCCCGTTTTCCTGGGTTCAGAGCTCAGCCATAAAACACGTAGCGTAGAGGCAGAAAGTGATGTACAAGGTCTCTGGCTGAGAGTGGTCATTGTCATCCTTTTTCCCCCCTTTCTAACCTGAAGAAGAAGATAACAGATTTCCGCAGAGACACCCCTGCCCACTGCATTTCGATCCAGCCATAGATTTATTTAGCAATAGCAACGGCTGCCTTTCAGCGTTCAAGTTGTGAACGTGCCCGTGATGGCCACCTTTCGACATTCAATCTTAACAACTGCACGAGGGATGATCAGGAAGAACGTGTGGTGCGTGGGTTTGGGCTCTGGTTCAGAGCCTGTTGCTGGAGAACAGCCCCAGTGACAATCCAGGGCTTTGGAGTGTCTGATCTTTGCCAGGTGACACCACCATCCCAATCCTGGCACTGCACGGTCGGTGATGAAGCCAGAGGAGCGTTCTGCCAGGAGGAGGAGGTGGCAGCAGTTTAGGGGTGAGGACAGCACAGTTCTTTCACCTTTCCCTTTTCAAGGACCCTTTTTTCCTGTTCACACATTTCCTAAGAATAATTGCAGCTGAGAAAGTTTTTCTTTGTACATTAGGATGATGGTATGAGACAGTTCTGAAGAGAACAAACCCTGAAAACACCTTCTCCAAAACTTCTGTTCAAGCTGTAAAGGACCTAAAAAGTTAGATGATCATTTCTAGCCTGCTGAAACACAGATCCTGCTTCTGAACTCTTGAGCATTTTAGTACACAATTACAACAGCAGAAACAGCTGAATAAAACAGGATTTTAAGCCTGAAGTAGTTGGGAGGTTAAGTGGGGAGAAAACCAAAGGGGAATGGAAAATTCTGTGTTTCTATTTCACTCCATCTTTTAGCAGAGGTGTCACTTGGCTGCTCAGGTTTTCCAGTATCCTTGGACTTATTTTTATCTAACAAATCTATGAGCAAAGGGTGTCTGTCCTCAGTCCTTGAACTGTCCAGAGATTTATCAATTTGTTCCTGTGGATGGCTGCCATTGAACTTTTTGCGCCTCCTGTAAGCTATTTTGAGGAAAATCCTTGAGCTTTCGTGGCGCTGCAGACATTACTCATGGCAGTAGTCCACGTGAGTGGACCGGTTCAGACCCTATTGGTGTAAAAATATTAATGGCTCCATTTGTATCTTGACAGTTTTCTTTTCACACTTTATACAATTCTTTCTTTCTGTTTTGAAACAGGTATTTTGTGACGCTGATCAAGTGGTACAAGCCGCAGACGTGCTGGACTGGGAAGACAAGGATGCTGCAGAGACACTGGTGGACAACGTGGTCCATTCCAGGATCATCAATCCTCTGCGCCTGTTCGTTAAGCCATCTCCAGTACTGAAACATGGCCAGGTATCCTACTCAGACAGCATAGAAAACTTTTGGGATTGGTTGTCCAACATCACGGAGGTTCAGGAATCTCTCGCACGAACTAAACGCAGACCTATAGTAAAAACTGGGAAATTCAAGAAAATGTTTGGATGGGGCGACTTCCACTCTAACATCAAAACTGTTAAGCTGAACCTCCTGATCACAGGCAAAATCGTCGATCACGGCAATGGGACCTTCAGCGTTTATTTCCGACATAATTCCACAGGTCTGGGAAATGTTTCTGTAAGCCTGGTGCCACCTTCCAAGGTGGTCGAGTTTGAATCTTCTCCACAGTCAACGCTGGAGACGAAGGAATCCAAGTCCTTCAATTGCCGAATTGAGTACGAAAAAACAGACCGTGCGAAAAAAACTGCCTTGTGCAATTTTGACCCTTCAAAGATCTGCTATCAAGAGCAGACTCAAAGCCATGTCTCCTGGTTGTGTTCCAAACCGTTTAAAGTCATCTGCATTTACATTGCTTTTTACAGCGTCGATTACAAACTGGTGCAAAAGGTCTGCCCCGATTACAACTACCACAGCGAGACTCCGTACCTGTCCTCCGGCTGATACCACCGTGGGTAACTGTAGAGATACAGCATCAGTTGTAAAAATAAGCATTTCCATTAACCTTTTGGAGAAGAATATGTTTTCCTATCAGGTTAAGAAGTCTTTTAAAACTGTAGCTGTAGTTGTGCTGTATCGTAAATAATCCAACTAATTATGTAACAATCATTTTCATTTCAGACCATTGCATTTTAGTGCTCTCCTCGTTAATAAGGGACCTAGCAGGAATATACATTAAAAAAAATCAAACAAAATTTATGTCTGTAACGAACATTGATCTTGAAAATCGGTTTTTTAAATTAGACTCGATAGCAGAGAAGTTGTCTTTTACTTGAAATGGAAAACACATAATAGGAAATGATCCTGTTTCTTGTTGGGAACTTTAGAAGATGACAACGCAAAGAACAAACGATGAAACAGATTCCCAGCCGATTATATACAAAATCCAAATAAACAGCTCTCCCAGTAATTTCATAAAGAATGTTACACACGCAGGGCTCAAGGAGTCCAGTCCAAATACTAAGAGAAAGTGCTATTTCTAGGACAAAAAAATGAAAGGAATCTGCATTTCTACGAGTTGTAGTAGTTGTATGTATTCGCTGAAGTGAAGAGTGAGTAGTTCTTCCTTCAGACTTCTTACCTGTGGATATGCAATGATGTCATTAGACACTGACGAGCTTTAGTTCAGTAGACCCACCAGGTGTGCAGGTTTGGGGGACATTTCTTCCTTCCATGGTCACCATTGGTTTTGATTCTTCTCAAACGTTTCAAACATTTACATCTACACCAGCACTAGATTTACAGTGATAAGAGAACATACGTACCTTGGAAAAAGATCATCTCTGGTTAAGTCTGAAAATGGTTCCAGGGGGTGGCTGGCAGGTAAAGGCAGCAATTCTCTTGCAGCAAGGAAAACACATCACAGCATAAAGACAATACACAAACACCACAAGCTTTCTGCTTAACGGCACCCCGTTGTCTTCCTTAGCATTGCGTTGCTTAAATTTTGACTTTAAATATGCAATGACAGATAAAGAGGACAACAGAAATCTATGCATCGTTGCCTCATTAAGCAGATTTCAAACAATCACTGTCAGCATAGAGAATATTCAGGCAGGTTTCCCCCTGGTACAGAACAGCATCACTCCACTGCAGTTAGCTGTAAGAACAGAGGGTCCAGCTGGGGCTTTGCTGCCGCAGGACAGATGTTGCTCCCGCCGCAGTCAATAGCGGTTGGCTCCAGCAATGCTGCTTCAAGCATCAGCCCCCTGCACTCTCCTTGGGTATTGATTTTGCTGCTGCTGCCAATTTGCTGTCATAGTGCTGCGTGACGGGTCGGTGTCACAGGTCCCATGGAAGAAGCTGGCTGAGGAAGTGCTTTTTATTGCCTATGATCAAACTTACACGCAGGGTCCGAGAAGTTACATACAGCTTCAATAGAGTACTATTAAAATACTCAGTTCAAGCGTAATACTCAGACAAATGACTACGACAGCTCAAAGACTCACTCATGGGATTAATTCTGATTTCCTTGGTAAAGTCTCATACAAAAAAATTGGTTAAGAATATACAAGTAACCAGTTCATTTGTTTTTCTGTTTAGGTGACAAATCTAAATGTGTGGTTTAGTTTGATCAATAATCTAAATGTTTTCCTTCATCTTATTTCACACAGCGTCTCTCCTGGTCTAAACGATGTTTTTTAGTTTGTCTCTGACTGTTGATTCCTCCAGGATGGTCTAGTTTGTATTCTGTAGAGCGTGTCCTCGTTCTGGCTGTAGATAAGCTTGGATTTATCGCTACGAGTTCAGTGGTTGGTGCTTTTGTAACTTAGCTGTAAGCCATGACTTTATTGCTATGTATTTTTACACAGCACTGTAGGCAATTAAAAGAAAACCCTACATGCTATTTATTGTAGAGTATGTGGAAATCATGTATGTATATACGCTGAAATATGTGTACATATACAGAACATATGTGTACATGTATTTGTATGTAAATAAAGAGAGTTTGCTAAATCTGGCACTTGCTTGTGGCATTTTTTTCTTTTTAGATGTTGTATATATAAAGACACAAAGTAAAACTAAGACCCTGGAACACACCACTGAACATTGTTCCCCAGCTGGAACTTGTTTTTGTGCTGCAGTGAACGATGCTGCAAGCCCAGGCAGACGAGGTTCGATAGCACTTCATGATATCCAAGAAATGTTTCGATGAAGACAATCAGAAACTGTTTAATAATTGTGTGTGGCACATTAAAAGCAGAGGTGTTAGTTGAAAGTCAAAAACGTGCGTCAGCTTCCCCAAAGCAGGAGGGTGCCAAGAGACGCAGCACCTGCTGCACCCGCTGCTGGTTCAGCCCCTGCTCGGAGTTACTGGGATTCCATCCTCTCGCTGGGACACTGCCACGGCCCCGGCTGAGGCTTCCAGACCTCAGGAAGACAAAGCAGAGCCTGGAGCAAACAACCGTCGCTCTGGAAGCACCTGGAGCATCTGGGCCCCTGTGGATTCCCAGGGAAAGGCTGTTATGAATCAAGGGACAAGTATATTAACACCAACACCTGAGCTTCTTGAACACGGAGAGGACATGCGCCCGCCCAGCAGCTTTTGACTTAAACCAAAGCTCAAGCTCATCAAGCAAGGCTGGGGCTGGTGCCACACCATGGGAGCAGTGCTGGGCACAGAGCGGCAGAGAACAGGAGCCTGGGGCAGCAGGAGAGAGTTACCCCTCCTGCAGCACAGCCCCAGGCAGAGCTGGTGCCTCTCCCCTGTGAGTCCCCCCAAGGCCTTTGTAAGTCCCTCGAAGGAGCTTTCTTGCCTCAAACCTCCCCGTGAGAGAGGAGTGACCATGACCAAACCTGCCCGGCTCCCTCTGCACCCAGCAAACACCAAACAGCTCAGCAAAAGCCAAAGTTTGCTGAAAGACGAAGGCAACAGCACAAAGGGGCTGTGTACCCGGGAGAGGTGCCTTTGGAGACTCGGCCTTTGTTCTAACACAGCCCGAACATTTTCCCAGGGAGAGGCCAACCTTCATCAGCAGCAGCCAGCAGTATCCTGGGATGCTGGGGCGATGGAGAAGGTCACCCCGCTCTGCTCCCACCAAGCCCCGGCACAATGCATCAGCCTGGCAGCTGGAGGGAGCCTTGGTACCAAACCCATCATGCCAGAGAGCTCACCACCACACTTTTCCCAATCAAAATACCTTAAAAATCAACTTTAAAGCATTACGTTTTTTTTTCCTCAGATCTATTTTGAGAAAGTCACTGCTGAAAAGCACTCTTTACCCCCAGCAAGGTAAGCCAAATACAGTCTGATGAACCAAAGGAAAGGCCAGGCTTCATCAGGTCCCATTTCCCACTGCCCATGGAAACAGAACTGAAGTTGATTGAATTTCACTTGGAACAGGCCCTATTTTAAAAAGCATTTTCCTGTGTAACAGGTGACTGGTTTAGATCAGTTTCAAATTGCTATGATTGTTCCTCTCATGACTCTTATTCAAAAGGATTTTAAAAGAAAAATTGTGAAGATTTGCAAGTGTCCCAAGTGGGCAATGATGACGTATGACTGCAACAACTCAATCTAGAAGTTTTTAATAGACATATTTTAATTTAATCCAAATCTCAACAGTATTGTTTTGCATGCATTTATATCAATGCAAACACATATTTAAACACCTTATTAAATACACTTCCTAGTGTTCTCCCCAGCAAGTGGATATACATATAAAAAAATCCCAATAAAAAGCTAATTCATGACCCCCACGGAAGCATCAGCTTTTTTTCTCTAGCACACCATACAGTGCTGCGGGGACCCTGCACAGTCAATATTTTATTTTTTAATCATTTCAACCTGAACAGGGAGATAACAGTTTGTTTTTTCCTTTTTCTCTTCTCCTGAAGAATTTCATCCTTTGGATCCTCAGCCTTTTCGATCCCTCAGGTTGGATCCTGCCGCGAGCTCTCGGCTCCCCGCACCGCCAGCGATATTGCGCTGGGACCCGGGGCTCTCTCGCCGCCCGCGTGCCCATTTCCCGGCTCTTCCATCGAGCGGCCACACTGTACTACAGCGCCGAGCAAGGCAGAAAAAAGGAGAAAGCTGAGTGTTGTGTGCTGTGAGCTCCCTAGGGTTGCTGCATTTTCTTCTTGGGGAGAATTTACTCATCGGTGCTCAAAGAGCAAACCCCTGAATAGTACTGATGTGACTGGAAAAATTCTCGTAGCAACTGGGAGAATGTGTTCAGTGCAAATCCTGCACTGCTGCCTTTTGTTTTTAAATTGTAATTCAAGGACATTAGAATTTGCTATTTGTTTTCTGCTCTGTTGACCAGAGTAATCTGGATAATGTTTTATTTATAGTATAATAATGATTCGTCATTACCGCTGTCCCTGTTCAAATATGCACAGCTGAAAAGACAATAACAAGTCGCAAACACTAAGTAGCTCAGCGAAATACACATCAATCACGTAGATTTTTAGCTGTAGGGTGTCTCATTTGAAAAAACAGACTTTGCCATTCCCCTCTCTGTCTCTTGTGAACACCTCTTGCACACATCCCCCAGAAGCAGCTTCTTTGTTTTAAAACTTCCAAATGAAATGATGTTTCTCACGTACTGGCAGCAACTGCCAAACTGTACTTACAAGGATATCACTTGTACTGTATTCGTCTCTGGCAAAAAACTAGGAATTAATGTCATCCACTCACAGGTTTACAAAACCAAAATCATAAATTTATATCACGTCCCTGGAGTTAAGTGAAAAGAAGCTAAACCACGTGTCGGCACAGCTCCGCATCGCCTGCACAGCCCAGCTTACTGCACGCGCGAGGAACCCACCAGCTCCACAAACGAGGGACCGAAATGATTGCTTTTACTGAAGAAGAGATGAATTGTCGTGAAGCAGCCCCCTTCGGCCAAACCACACCTCACCTGGAGGACTGCTGAGCACGAGTCTGCCAAACCTGCTCAGATCCACAACTGGTGATGGGAACTGAACGGGCTCTGCTGGAC